TTAGCTGCCTTCCCTCTAGTCTTACACTACTAAATTAGGGACGGCTAGCGCAGATAGCCCTCGTGTAGCTTTGCGCGAAATTAAAACAAACAATTTATTTTTGTTTGTGCGACTCGAATTTTTACTAAGATCCCTGTAACCAAAAATGCTATGAACCCGCTACAAATCTGGTGTATAAATAGTTTTAAAAATATAATTTAAAATCTGTTGAGGTCATATGAGCTCTAATGGTAATTTGAGGGTTTAAATAATTGGCAGTATGATCTTATTCGAAGCAAGAAAATTCATATTTTTTCTTATATAAAGTATAACGTCTTCCGGAGGGTTAGCAGTAAGTTTATGGACTTGCTATGCTATAATCTAGGGTTCGATTAGTCCTAATTGGCAGATAGCCCTTTATTTAGGTTTGGACTAAAAAATCACAACAATTATAGTAATATCTAACATAGTTTCTTTCATACAGGTATTCATTTAAAAAGATAAAATTTGAGCAATTTTTTGGAATAATTTTAGTAAAAAATGTTCAACAGTATTTTTTATACACAGTTTCTCATGTATATTTCTTCTATAAAATTACATTATGAAAATAATTTACCAATTATCATAAATAATACTGTGTTATTCTTTGGAAACTTCACATGACACATTGTTTTAGTTTCATGTGTAATGTTACTACTTTTCTACAGGATATGTTATTCTAATTTTGTTATATGTTTTTATTTCACTTGATCTTCGCCTCTTGTGTTGGCATCGTTTTTAACTGACAATAACCTAACATTTCCACGATGAACTATCATTACGTACATCCTACCTCTGAATTGCTCTCTGATAACGCAGTTGTAAGCTTGCAGTTTAACCACAGAAATTGCTTGTAGGTCTATGTTAGTTATAAGATTCCTCAAAACACGAGTCACACAAAAAAGTATCAATACAAAATACCGTCAATATTGCAATTAATACCACTAATTAGTGCTGGGATATCCTATGATTTTCACATAAAAATGGGGGATTTTACCCAATTTGTTGGTTATTTCTTTACATGAGTGTTAAAACGATAAAATTACTCACGATGCTGCAATACATATGGACGCTTCTGCTAGCAAACTGTATCAAAATAATCGGTAATTTGAGGATTAGAAATATTATAACTCAGTTGTAAAATGTCAGATATTTGTATGATCTTCCCCTTATGATGTCTCAACTACTGTGTCTGTCGCATCCCGGCCGGAAAGATGAGTCCTGGAACTGAACGAAAAGCGTCATAGGCACTGGATATAGCATTGTAGTGACACAGCACTATACATTATTCTTTACTTTCACCCCCCCCCCCCAGTGGCACGACGGTATGTCTGCGGACTAATACCGCTAGAAACCGGGTTTCGATACCCATGGTGGGCAGAGCACAGATAGCCCTTGTGTAGCTTTGTGTTTAATAACAAACAACAACAACTACTTTTACTCGTAAGTTATTAGAGTAATAAAACTTTATTCTTGAATTAAATTAAGTTAGGTGGCTCTAACGAACCATAATTATTTAAAATGCTCAGTAGCATTCCGACTGGGATAAGAGGGTCAATACTCACTGTGTTGTAATAGCCAGTTCAGTGCTCACTAACTGCGAGTCTCCACTCTGCTTTTCAACCAATTGTTTGTTAACGATATTCAACAGATCCTGCACAGCTTCATCCAGTACCTGTAAAACAGAACACAATGCTATCTGAGGGCCTGCATCACTTCATCCAGCACTTCTGAAACAGAACACAATGATACCCGAAGGTTTGCACTACTTTATCCAACACCTGTAAAACAGAACACAATGCTATCTGAGAGCCTGCATCGTTTCACTTAGCACTTGTAAAACAGAACACAATGCTATCTGAGGGCCTGCATCGTTTCACTTAGCACTTGTAAAACAGAACATAATGCTATCTGAAGAACCAAAATAATAAAAACCTTGTAACGATCTCACACGATCTAATATTTGCATCTTTCTGAGTGCTTTGGACTTGTTGTATTTTTTATTTATCGAGCTAAGTTAACGTGATTTGGTCAGAAGTTATAACGAATTAGAAACTCTAATCCCTAAGAAATATAAATATTTTTATCACATTCAAAAGTGACACAAACTGGGTTAGTTAGTGGGATCAGGTGTGGTCTAATAGTCGTTGTGCCGGATTGTGGATCCACGGTTTCAAGATTCGCGTCCCCTCGCTGCAAAAACGAGCTTGCTCCGCACTATGGATCCATGGATACATTACGGGAGTAACAGTCAAATCCGAATATTCGATTAGTTTAGCCCAAAAACTGTTGTTAAATAGGTGCCTTCCCTCTTGTGTATCAGTTCAAAATTAGAGACAGCTGGAATAGATAGCCTTTATGCAGCTTTGGTTAGTCATCCATTTCCACAAAGTATATGAACAGCGTTCAAAATATAGAACATAAATATTTTTCTCGTATTGTTATTTGCCATGAGTGATACAATGTTTTAAAATATTCCGTTTGATAGTCGCCAAGAAAATACCTACTTCGGAAATATTAAGATTAGCAAAGAATTAGTATACAGGAAGTATATTTTACCTTATGAATTAAATAACAGAACCTTTTGGCCAATACTAGCGTATTTTATTAGATTAGAAAGTTATAAAATTCCCAAAACGTTATCTTAACAAATATTAAGTCGTTTGGTACGATTTTTCAATCATATTTACAATAAAATAATAAAAAAGTATTTTAATATGTTTAAATCAATCTTTATTTTTGTTAGAGCTAATACAATTCGCTCTGATAACATAACTAAATGATTAGATCAAAATTTTGTTATCCATATCAATAGTATTTGTATTTATGGCAAAAAATAAACAACAACATTAAGCCTAAATTTGAACTACAGACCAGAAAGATGGCAGCCAGTCACCAGCAGTCTATCATCCACCATCAATCAAGGGGTAATGATAACATCGTTTACATTATAATTATGATTTATTTTTGTTAATTACTACTAGTTATTAATAATACTTATAAGAGCGGATACTCAGTTGGAAACTATGTCAACTCAGTTAAACTGGTTGACACCAATGTTTTGGTTTTTGTGTAATCATGTAATAAAAAAAATGAAGCAGAAGAAACAAGAACAAGAAATTCAAGCTTTTGCTATGATATTTACAGACATTCCCAGAACTTGTGACTCAGTCATTTCAAATATATTGTTATAAAAGGAAACACTGTATAGTATTGTAAAATTCTGAAGACCTATTGAGGCGATATATAAAATATCATTTCAATGAACAATCCGAGCCATCCCTACATAGGCAGTGCTACCGCCTGCCTGATAAAAACAAGGCTAATGCCTCTAGAACTTTCTTGTTTATTTGCTCATCGTTTTACCTCACAGCGTTAGACACAAAGAAATGCAGACACAACTATGTAATGCAGTCTCTCAAAGGGACAGCGATAAGTTTACGTACTTACAACGCCAAAATCCGGGGTTCAGTTCCCCGCGGTGGCCACAGCAGATAACAGATAGTCTAATGTGAATTTTCTCTAAAACAAACGATGTAATGTAATTACGCTTCTTCTATACGTTATATCTGTTTTGATAATAATAAAAAGTTTTTCTTGTCATATATAATTCTATATTTCTACATATTTGAAAAAAAGAATTTATACAGATAATTTATTCCAATATAGACGACTGTTGACATTACCTGGTGTTGACAGCTTAACGCTGATGCTAAATCATTAATTTGTCCCAACACCGATAAATCTTCTTCTAAGTGCTCCACTTCCTTTAAGGCTCGTTTCAGACTTACGTCGGCGCCTGAAAAAAAAAAATAACACCCTAAAATCTAGCTTATGAAATTAAGCATGATATATAAATAAAATAATCCTTCCAGGCTAACTAGGATTAAGCATGATATATTTCTTCCAGGCTAACTAGGATTTGCTAATAAAGGACATTGTTACAGACGTTTCTTAATCAAGCCTACTTCGTTCACGAACAAAACAAAGAAACTGTTCTGTTTCTTATAAAAGGTCAAATCCCTATATTCGGTCAGATTAGAGTACCTCAAAACTTGACAGTGGGTGCTGTTGACTAGCTGTCTTACCTCTAGTGTATCTGTTAAAAATGTGGTATAGCTATGCGTTTACCTTTCCGCTAACAACAAACAAAATGCCTGCTTAAAATCCACATTTGACTGTATTATTTTACATTACATTTATTCCTCAGATTTATGTCGCGAATTTTGCTGACACACATATAAGAACACATTTAGTAACACTTATTTATAAAAGTCATATGAGGATAGGGAACCGTGAGAAGTGCGAAACCCCCTTGTATTTGATGGGTGAACGTACAACCGGTATAAGTTAACAATACTCCTCATTTAAGGACTTCTAATTAATTATGTTCTTGAAATTTTACGAAACAGTTATTAGTTGCAATCCTCAAATGTAGACTTCAAGAAACTACAATTTGGTGAACTTTATCAAAATAATTATTCAAAAACTTTTTTTGTTGTTGTTGTTCTTTGTTTTCAAATATTCACGGAATTCTAATCAAGCCGTCCCTAATTTTGAAATGATAACACTAGAAGGAAGGTAACTAGTCAAAAGCCCCCATCGCCAACTCTTAGGCTACTATAGTCTGATCTAATAGTGGAATTTGACCGTTACCCTTATAACGCACCCACGGCCCCAAAGTGAGGAGCAATATTTTATTTTCCGATAACAGAACGCGAACGATGGACCTGCAGATTCACATTCAGGCTTGCTAACTATTCAAAAATAGCGAAACATATGAAATAACTATATTATAGTAGTTATTACACACACACACAAATTAGAAGAAAAAAAAAGATACACGAGAGTACAGTAGTTAAAATTTTCACATTCAAAGAAAAAGATTACTAAGTCAGTTTCCTAGCACAGTAACAAACAGGTTGTTAATGTAATAATAAAACACAGTTCTAAATATTTTAGCTGAATATTTCTGCAAGAACGTTTTAATACACACACAAAATCTTCATTTTGACAGTTGTTAAAATGGAAATGTGAAACTATGGGGCTCGAGTGCCTAACCCACTACCGTCCTTCGTCTAAGAAAACTTTAAAAATCAACTACCTAGCAAACCATTTTTAAGTATGTACTGTGTATTAAAGACGAAAAAGTCGCCATCCATTTATACGACAACCACAATCGCACGACCTTGGACGGCATTGAGTGACGAGGCAAAAGATCGACACGCCCATCACTCTCACAACCACCTAATTATTGATAGTTAGTCGCAATTTTAAACTTGCCCGGTGAGAATCAGTTTTCATGTATAATCATTGTAGTTCCTCCATAGACTTTCAGTTATCGTATAATATTGTTTCTCAGACCCTTTGTTCAATATAACTAGGGAGACTCTTAGTAATTTTATTGGCTGGGAGTTGGCCCAACCTCATTTTAACCACTGGACACGTTTGATATAAAAAGGGCTATATTTTTCTAAAACCAAATCATAAATCTCCAAAACATTTAAACCAAAAAATACCAATAATATACTGATTATAAAGTTCACAACATATGAAAAACATTAAATGTTATACTGTCGTTTGGGCGCGGCCCTGTTGTAGAGCTCTGGATTTCGGATCCGCATTCCAATCCGTGCAATACCACAAAATATTCCATTTTCAGCACTTTAAGCTGTAGGTGTGTTATAAAAGTGACAGCCGATCCCTTAGCGTGGATGGTGTGTGGTGAGATGCTGCTGACTGATGGTCAGTACTTCTAAAACTAGGGACAATAGCAGATAGTGTTAGTAGCTTCCCATAAATACAAAAATCCAATGCTATAAAGTGCCATACAAAATGTTATTAAAACTATATGTACTTCCGCGGGGTTCCCGAAAGTGTTCTGTTTCAAGAGCAAATAAAACCAAAATTAAGAGTAACAAATATTTTTATTTTTTGCTTTTGAAGTTCATATGTCATGTTGTGTTGTATCCTACAGAGTGCATAATTCTTCTCGTGATTCATGGCAAGCGCACGCTTTACTGACGTCATGACAGTATAAATTGCAACGTTAAACGTCTCTTACGTGACATCGTTTTAGTGACAACGCATAGTGGTGCGTTGGGTTAAAACAGGTGACCCCTCCAGGCGGCCTTCGGCCCCCTTCCGGGAAAATTACTTAGATCCTCAACACAGTTGTTGTGAAAAGCATTATTCTTCAGATAAATTAAACCAGCGTAAAGATATAAAATGTCAGCTTTATAATTT